TTCTTTCTTAGTGTACTTTCTATCACATATAATTCCACTGTCTTAGTTAGGCCTAGTCTTATGCCTCATCGTCCCCCGCTACACAGTACATCAGCAGCCCCTCCCCCATACAGTACAGACGTTTGCTAGGTAACAACATGATTGCACCTTCCTTCCTAGGTGTTCATGTAACATTGACATAATTGTTAGCTAACCAGTTGTGTGTATTTCTTTGTGAAAATGAGTACTGCGGCGTACTCATTTTCACAAAGCATTTGCATCCCCTCTTGGAAAGAGGGATACGAAATAATTGTCTCCATATCTTCGCTAATTAAATTAATCACCGTAATTTAGCTTACACTTATGAATTTAGGGAGCACTTAAAATGTGAAATAATCATTTCACTACCCGACAAACTCCGAACTTTATTCATTCATTAGGCCTACATAATAGTTTCATACTGCTGTAGTATATACTCCAACATCACTGGCGCATGGTAACAACCAACTGACTGCAGACCATTTCCAGTCACACATTACTCTCCATAACACAGCACCCCCTAGTTCCGTCACCTCTGGATGAATATTTTAACTTTGAATGTTGAATATTTGATTTATTGTAAGTATTTGTTTTCTGTGAAGGATCCCCACTTTAAAAGTTCACTTTTGTTGTGTCCTGTATCATTTTTGTTTGTGCTGTTCCTTGCTGTTTCTTTTTTGTGACAAATAAATGAAATGACCCACAACGAGTAAACATCTGTGATGTACAATGAGCTTGACTGCAAGATATTGTTTACAGCGGGTAAAACAAATTATTATCCAATTATTATATAAGCAGGAAATAAAATTACATTGAACAACCTAATAAACAATAACACGAATAATTAAATTGTAGGAACTGCTCACCTTGCAGAAGTTGTAAGATTTCTTCCTTGTGTTTTTCTCTATTTGTAGAATCATACTCCTCACATTCATTCTTTATATAGAGGTCACGTGGCGTCTGATTGTCCTGTAAAAATAATTACACATAAAACTTAAAACAAATCAATATCGATCATTCTACTTTAAAAAATACTTCATAGAAAGTATCACACAAAAATAATCACAAGAAGTATCATGAAAGAAATATTATACATATATATCTGTGCAATTTTCTTTTATATCTTGCAAAGATTCAATCATAATTATTGATTGTAAGACCATTCCCTTTAACAACACAATCGCTTTAATCTGTTGTGCTAATATTACTGTACTGGTGGTCTTCAGATTCTTTGTCGATCAATCAAGCAGCAACAACAGCTATTTTAATAACACAAGCAAGGGTAGATCTAGGATGGGGAAAAGTGAATAGGGTGGATAACCCTTCCCACAAAAATGCATACACCTAGACTAGAGCAATCCCTCTATACCAAGTAATAGAAACAAAGTTAACATTTCTAAAGCAAGATGCTTTGTGGAGTGGTTTACATTTTACCAAATAACCTACAATTAAGCTTATCTCATTCCCCTTATTCACCCCAGCCATTGACTCTCTTCTCTCATATTAGCCTCCACTACTGAAACTGTGCTGCTGTTTATGTAATCATTATAATCATATAATTTCATCTGGTCTTGTTGATATGATCCATCAACAGAAAAGCAAGTATTATTTTATGCTTATTTGATGAGACTTCAACATCATTAACAGGCCTCTCAGAATGTGGAAAGTGCATTTCTGAGCCACACCAAAAAAACATTCTGAAGAAGCTTTATGAACAACCTATCTACACTACCTAGCCATCCTCTATTCTTTAATCCTAAATCAGCCACTGCTCAAGCTGTAAGCAAATTTTAAAAGTTATTTATTATTTTTTTTATTTTAAAAATTATTTTTTTAATTGTTCTTATTTCCATCTTCTACATCACCAATGCAACTGCAATCCCCTTCATTTAATAAAATAGCTTAGGATTCAAGATTGCTTTATTATCATTAAGCAAACATGTGATGAATTAAATTCTTTTTGCCTGCTGCATACAATGAAAGACATGGAAAGAGAGTAAAAGGCTATTCAATATATTATAAACATTGAAAGCAACAAACGGATACAATATAATAAATGATAATAATATTGTACGTATCTATAAAGCTATCATCGCCATCTACTTCAGAATTTTCATCACGATCCAAACCATCACCATAGGAATCATCGGAAGCATCATCATCAAAATTATCATCATCATTAAATGTGGCATATATAGTCATGATGTGCCCATATATAGTCATGATGTGCCCATATGTGGCAAAGACAAGCCAAACCAGTCACTCGTCGCAAAAATCGATTTTGAGTTATTAATAGAAAGTAATATAATAGCTATAAAATGGTAAAAAAATCATTCAAATCAGACATTTCCTTATGAAGTTACAAGCGTTTAACCACACAGCTGTTTAAAGAACAATATGAGAAATCAGCCTTCAAAGTTTATGATTTCAGGCATTTCTCATGCAGAAACTATC